TTGCTTTTGCTATTATATCTGCACTGGGTCTTTGAACTTAAGAACTTAAGTTTCATTTAATACATTTACATCTGATTCTGATTAAAAAAAATATTTAAAGCTACAAAAATAAATAAAAAGAATCTGTCATGCCACCTTTTAGGACATAGAGTAATAGGGTATTTATTTTTAATTAAAGAAAGCTTTGCCTTTAAATCTTAAGTCACTGTGTGTCCAGTTCCTCTTGCATAATGAAAAAGCACACCCAGAAGGAAAAAAAAACCCTAAAGAAAATTTGTTACAAAGAACTGAAGTGTAAAAGGGCCTACTATGAAGGCAGTGCAGGGAGGACAGAAAAAAATGAGGAAAATTGCACAAGGTCAATAACCCTTAGTTTCTATGAAAAGAATATTCAAAGCCTCACATGAATATAAATGTAGGAATAAAGGAGGAACTGAAGGTCTGATATAATTTGTATATTTTCAGAAATTAAAGCTAGGATGCACAATAGATAGATCCCAATAACATTCCACTTACACATGTGCAAGAAACAATCTTTGCTGATCTTTTATCCAGCCACTGATGCATTCTCATCACACTGTTTATACTGAGGCCTGCCTAGCAATCAATCAATCATGGTAGACCTACTATATACAATTTCCACATATAAACAGGTTAGCTCTTATTGGTTACATCCAATAAGGATTTATATGGTCATTTACATCTTGGCTGGGTAGCTTTCTAGGTGCATTTTTGGTTCCATCCTACATAACTTTAATTTGGAAAGTCAGCATTAGCATCAGAAGAGAAAAAAGTGAGAAAAAGGCTGAGTATTTTTATATAGAACAGATTTTGAATACAATGTATGTTCTAAAAGCCTGAAACAAACTTTTAATATACTAGGATATAAAATATTTACATTTGACAGAAAGAATCCTATATGTAAATTATAAGTAATATATTTAGCCCATCGTCTCCCTTTAAGCAATAAAAACTGCTGTGCATGGATGTGTATGTGTGTGTATTCAGTACAAAAAACAAATTCCTCTTGATACATCCTTTTTTTTTTTTTAATTTGATTTATATGCCGCCCTTCTCCAGAGACTCAGGGCGGCTTACAATGCGTTAAGCAATAGCATTCATACTTTTGTATATTTATACAAAGTCAGCTTATTGTCCCCACAAACTGGGTCCTCATTTAACCTACCTTAGAAAGGATGGAAGGCTGAGTCAACCTTGAGCCTGGTGAGATTCGAACTTACAGTAATTGCAGACAGCTGGTGTTAATCACAATGCTTTTAGTCTGCTGAGCTACCAGGCTCTTCAGCATTGCAGCATTTTGCAGCATTGATAAGCCAATCTAAGTATTCTTAATTCACTAGCATATAATAATAATGGCTAAACTTAGCTGGCAGATAGCAATAGCATTTAGGCTTATATACCACTTCACAGTGCTTTACAGCTCTTTCTAAGCAGTTTACAGAGTCAGTCTATTTTGCCCAATAATCCAGGTCCTCATTTTACCGACCTCGGAAGGATGGAAGGCTGAGTCAACCTTGAGCCTGTTGAGATTTGAACCGCCAAATTGCAGGCAACTGGCAGTCAGCAGAACTAGCCTGCAGTGCTGCAGTCTAACCACTGCGCCACCACGGCTCTCAATGTTGCTTGGTTTAAATTAATGGAGAACTGATCATTGTTTGAATTTTGTTTTAAGGTTTGAATAATATGAAAAGATGTAGCAAATGTCCATATTTGCTTTATTGCACATTCTTTAATCCATTACACATTGGTTTCTCTACAGTTTAGAAGAGAAACTGTCAATCTGTAGTGATTAACACAGATTTCCTTTAATAATCGACATAGTAGTGAAATAAACACAGCTGGAAAATGAGAAACCCTTGGATGTTTCCATCAATTAGCATAAATATATCTGGCAAACACTTGAAAGAACTGTCTGCAATGATTTGTGTGTAAATTCTAAAAAACAAGAGGCAAATTAATTCATGTCATATTTAGAATGGGTGTCAGGACACTGCATATACTCCCTAATAGGTGAAGTGAAGGTAGCAATAGTAAAAAGTAGTCTCTAGAGATCCTAGCTTACATAGAATACAGTGAGTTGCTTAGGGTAAAACTGGACTTTGGTTGCATTTATGCTATATTGGCCAAAATAAGCACCAACTGATCAGTACTTTCTTTATGCTGCAAGAAGTAATGTAATTATACATTACTATTGTAATATTAATAAGTAATAATCTAGTCTATAGTTTCTCCTACTAAAAAGATTCTATAGAAGACTTCATTGATGAAAACCATGCATTCTAATAGAGGTGATGAGGGCAAGAAAATAAGCTCCACAAAATAAGGATAAGGAAATTTTTTATAGTGTGTAAGCAGAAAGAAGAAAGTCACAAAGAACAAAGGAGAGCAAAGAATGGTTGACATAACAAGTGATTTTTTAAAAAGACAAACATCGTCATCAATTTTGACAGAAATAAAAAAAATGATTTGAAAAATGTGTAAAGAAAGCTAAGCAAGATACTTCCAGCAGTGAGAATAAAAATAAAAGCCAGGAAATGTAAAGAGACTGAAGTGAATGAATGCTGGAAGGAGTGTTCTAAGGCATGCAAATGCTGATAGAAAAGCAGTACAGCAGTTGCAAGGAATTAATTGATAATGGCTGTATTTAAGAGCATGCTTCTGCCCACTTTGTTACATGCGAATAAGGACTGGATAAATCAAAAGAAATGTAATAGTTGAATTCCGTGGGAATAAGATACCTAAAGTATGCATGAGAAAAATAAAACAAAGTTATGATCAAGAATTAATGGATGCTGAATGAATGTAGAGCTGTGGTGGCAATGTGGTGAGAATACAGTATTGCAGGCTGACTGCTCACTGCTAGAAGTTCGATCCTTAGTTGCTCAAGGTTGGCTCAGTCTTCCATCCTTCTGAGGTCGGTAAAAAACAAAGAAAGATGCTAATTCTTTTTTTATCTGATATGTACAGTAGCTTATATTTAGAAGAAGCAATAATTTTACAGCTGTTAATCTGAATCCTATTATATTTTCGCTATTTTGACCATGTTACTAATGAAGAAGTGTTGCAAAAGAATTTAGTCCCCAAATTACATAATATTGTCGCATACAAGAGGCATAGGTAACTTGCAAGTCATATACTCCTCATGGAGAATAATCAAATTCCCAACAGGGCAATGAGTTCCTGATGCCAAATGACCAAGAGGATGCCCTTGAAATACATGCTAAGAACATTCATAGATGACTTAAAAACTTTAAACATCACATGGGAAGACGCTGATCTACTCGCCCAAAATTGAAAATACTGGATATCCCTTGCTGCCCAATATGCTACATAGCATGGGAGGATCTAATGCTAAAGCTAAAATGCTAAACTGAATCCAGAGTGTTTTCTGAAAGCTTTCTTTTGTTATGAGAAAACCCTATTTTCCTTTCAATTAGCTAACAATGCAACTTTCTCAATGACAGTTTCAAGCCTGTAATTGAAAAAATGCTGTCAGAGGCATTTGCCTGACAATATTTGTGATAAATTTGTTCACATGCTGGTGCCATTTGGTTAATTCATTCTTATTATAGCACTGAAGTGCAGATCACTCACATGGTTCTTTAATTGTTCTGTAGATGTAATTAATTTTCATTGCATTAACACCATTCATTTTGTTGCTATTTTTTCTTCTTTTAACACTTTTTTTTTTTTTGGTTTTACAAAATGTTATCTCTATTTCTAAAACATAATTGTCCTGATTTTTTAAAAAACAAAAACAATGACAAAAACTCAGTTATCCAATAAAACTGTTTTCTTAACCTAACAATCAAGTAGGTGAAAAAGTATAATGTAATTTGTTCAGGTTCAGGGCTAAAATACTGTATTATTAAGCAAAGTCATTTATAAAACATAATCTAACAAATACAATATATTGAGTCATTAGAACTATTAGAAAATCTCAAAATATTATGATTATTCTCTGGCACTATAGACAGAAAAAAGCATTATTTGAAGAAAGGTGAAATTATTTTGATTATTACCTTACCATTAGTACTGATGTTACTATAAGTGAAGTTACTTGGTAGAAATTAATGAAATATTAGAATGGGAGTTACAAGGATGACCTCAAAATGAAAAGTAGGAAAACTTCCTCCATGTTTGTTTTATTAAAATGTATGCACAAAAAGCATTAATATGCAAAAGGGAAAGAGTAACCAGAAAGCATATTCTATTGGAATTGCAAAAAATGTTAGTAAACATTTGAAAAATATATCTTTAATAGACCACTGATGTTAAGTAATATGGAATTTAGATATAAAGTCATAGAAAAGAGTACTGCAAACCAATGCTACTCTTGACATGGACCTATGTTAATTTTCAAAACATCAACAAGCGTAGACATATAATAAGAATATATGAAGACTCAATTTGCTCAACATTTTGTTTACACAGTGAATCAAATGTATATAGGTTATCTATGCAAGGATAGATTTGAAGATCTAGAAGTTGTGAGTGCTCAAAATGAGGCTTTTAAGAAGAGACTGGACAACCATTTCTCCGAAATGGTACATAGTATACTGCTTGAGCAGGGAGTTGGACTAGAAGACCTCCAAGGTCCCTTCCAAATGTTATTCTGATGTGAATACAATATCATCCTGATCCTGTATTGAATGATATGCAGTCTTGGCTCAACAAGGTCAATTTTGAAAAAAATGGATGCCTATTATATTCACAATTTGCAAAAAGTAGTTATCTCCAACTCAAGCATTCCAATTCACAAGAAAATTCTTAGACCATCTAGTAACATATAATACATGCATATGTGATTTTTTCCTCTCTTTAACTCTAGCCTGAAGACAATCAGTAAAAAACATGTAAAAGAATTTTGGTTCTTGGATATATGAGCATAACGAGAATTTGTTTTAATGATAAAAAGAAATGTTCTAAAAATAGCAGGTAAAGAAATCAATAATTTCAAAAGCAATGTAACACATTACCTGCTTTTGCTCTTCTCCCAAGCCATCCCACATAGATGCTACAATTTTAGAAACTTCACCAAAAGTAGCATTTGGATTTTGGCCCTTAATAGCTGCTTGAGTGTCTCGGAAAAATAATGCATAGGCAGAAACAGGTTTTTGTGGCTCATTAGGATCCTTCTTTTTCTTCTTCTTGGGAGTTTTGGGTTTCTTTCCCATGTCAGAGGCAGGTCTTTTTTCTCCCCCATTGATCTACCAAAAAAAAAAAAGGAAGAAGAAGAAGAAGAAAAGAAAAGAAACATTATAAAACAAACTACTGCAATTATTACTGAAAACCAAACTAAATCTCTGTTCTTCCATCCATATGAATTTAGACATTTTTGGCTTAAAACTTTAGTTTAATTACAGCCCTTTTATAATCCAAATTATTAACCACTTACTTTATTTCATTTATAAAATTCATTTATAAAGTTATATAATCTAATGATATTATACTTTACAGTTTGTTTTCATTCTAGCTAAACTGTAGCTTAGCTTTTATTTTTTAAATCCTTTTCAAGCCTTACTACAAATGGCATTATATCATTTTGAACTCTTTCATTAATATGATGATCAGTTTCAATAGAAGTAAATATATGTTGCTCAGGGTTGCTTCTCCGAAACATGTTAAGTAAATCAAAAGATCCAGTAGCCTAAGAAGAAAGAACAGGAGTCATCTACCTTGTGAGCACTGAATCAGCTACTATATAGGAAAAGGTAGAAAACATGCGGACTGCATCTATGAACACTAACCAGAAGTAAGAAAACATGATAAAAACCACTTAATTTCACAACACTTGGAGTTTAGGTTCTTGTCTGGATAGGTTGGATATCTTATCTGTATTCAAGTATGTCTCTGCTATATATTGTTAAGGAAGTGCAGTGTCATTTTGCAATATGGATTGTAGTTTCTATACAACAAAATGCTCAAGCTGGTAGCTGTAGGCTGTAGACAACAACCAAAAGCGTTCTATCCTGCTATTGTGGTTTGTCTTTTAATAAGTGCCCTCTAGAATGGATCTGGCTCAATTGATTTGCCTATTGATCTTGTACAGTATGTACTTGGCTTAAGTCCATCAGTTGTTCATATCTGTCAAGAAGGTCAGAACAAATATGGTTGTAGTGTAGAGCCTGGATATTTGGTGGTATGTTCTAGACGGCAGCAGGAAGCACTTAGATATGCATGAGATAGATAGGTTTTTCTGTGCAATGTGATGTTTCTATGTCCATTGTGTAATTTTACTGTAACCTCAATGAAGCGGCTAATGCTGATGATGGGGCAGCGTTGTTGAATTTTTAGACATTAGTGAATCTTCTTCATGATGATGAAAATGTTATCAATGTATATGTACAAGAGAGATTTCAGGGGCAAAAGCTGAGAAATCACTATTCTATGTCAGCCATAAAGATGTTGGCAACCCTGTGGCATTGCTAATCATAATGTAGTTTTGGTTGAATGAAAAGTCATATAGTTTAGGGACACGGTATGCTATGCTGATTTCAATGGTTATCCCAAAGGTGCTTTTTCAAGAGGCAACTGAACTTTCTTGTTTTTCTTTAAAGAAGTTTTGCTTCTCATCCAAGAAGCTTCTTCAGCTCTGACTGGATGGTGGAGAATGGAAGGATTTATACTCCTTGCAGACAGCTGGTCATTTGCATTCTTTTAGAGAGTCATTGTGGCCACCTGGAGGTTTTTCTGACGTGTTAGGGTCGTCTGAGTAGTGCAAATGAGAGTGCAAATGGGAGTGGAGCCTTCTTGGAACTGTTAAAAGGACTGTATTGTAGACTGCAGATGGATGATGTTGTATCCCTCCCCCTCTGTTCAATTTTGACATAGATGGCCTCTTTGACCCCTCTTTCAAACACCAATTCTTTCTGTCCAAAATGTGGACTTTGCTTTCCTCAAAAAAGTGGCTTTTGTCTTTTAAATGCAGATTGACTTCTGAATCTTGTCCTGATGGGTTTTTTCTTTCTGAACTTTTCTGATATTCCTGCAATGTATGGAATGACAACATTGCTTCATTTATTGTTCTCTTCTATTTCTGTAAACTGCAATGTTAAGGCTTCTGTCTTCCTTAATGTGTACTGCACAGGAAGGCTAGACTATTTTCCTTAACATCTTCCAGTGTGAATTTCCATTCCATTGCCCACTATCCAGTCAGAGCTGAAGAAGCTTCTTGGATGAGAAGTGAACATCTTCAAAGAAAAACAAGAAAGTCCAGCTGCCTCTTAAAAAAGCATCTTTGGGGCAGCTATGACCTGGAAGACTGAGAATCTCCATAGACTTCAGTGGTTATGTTCCTGTTGGCTCAAAGTCCAAAATTTGGGGGGATGTTTATAGTGCACCAGCATTCAGCTACCATCCAACTTAGGGAGGCTTTAGTGTTTCTTATACACCTATGAGTGCTGGCAACATAAGGTCTGAATACAGAATCCGCAAAAGCTAAATTGCTGCTGTGATGATTACAATGTTTGAGTCAATTGGATGGCCAGGTATGTACTCTTTTTGAAAAGAGGTACAAAATTCTTGTGAAGGATCCTGTGATATCTTTCTGTAGATATAGTCTTGTATATCTTCTGGAAAGTGCATCAGATTGTGTAGTTCTTTCCATTAAATTTCAGTGGGTTCTGAGGATATACTATAGTTTTGGAGAGCTGTTTACTTGAATAATCCATCTGATTCATAATGAAAACTGCCCTTTCTGTGTCAGTTTATTTAATGATCATATTGCTGCTGCTCTTGAGACCTTGGATGATGTCTCATTCTGCTCTGCAGAGATTGTTGAATAAGAATACTTTTTTTTATTGATGACTATGTTTCAGTTTGTTGGCAACAGTATTCAGTGTAGAAATCCAATTCAGTGTTAAATCTATATGGGGCATTCATGCATCTTAATGCATTTGAGAAATGGTAGAGCTGTAGTTTTGTGTTGTCCTTGGATGAGTTAGTTTGATGATAGCTGTATGTCTAAATTTTATTTCTCATACTAAAGCTACTTACGTCTCAAGCAAGGAAAAAATACTGTATAGCCCCCACAGAGTTTATATTTTGTAGGGGTTTAGTGGAGCAAAAGAAAAGTCTCATGCAAGAATTGGAGTGTTCTGACTGGCTGACCGAGCAACTGGTAAGTTTATAATGCTGTGGGAAGTCTCTGAAACCCTCGTGTTATATTGAGTGAAATGTATAGAAGTGAGGAACAATTTATTTTCTTTTTCTTCAAGGAGGTGAGATTTATAGAATAAGATTGTTGTCAGGGCCTGGTGAAGTCTTTATGCTGTTGGAGTTCTAGGGTAGAGATGATGTGTTTGCTTGCTGTAAAGGATTCTGGTTAGTTGGCTTATAAATCTCTTGAGGAAATATAGCATAATCTTCAGTTATAATCTATGCCAGTGATGGCTAACCTTTTTGCCATTGCATGCCAGGAGAGGGGTGGGTGGGGGAGATTCGCGTGCGCATGTGCCCACACCTATAATTCTATGTGCCTCCCCTGCGCATGCGTGCGCAATCTCCCCCCCCCACTCCTAGCACGTGATGGCTGGTAGGCCCATTTTTCTTTCTTACCTGGCTCCAGATTAGGAAGGAAATGCTCCCGGTTCTGACTGGATCGCCCGATCCGGTAGCGATGGAGGCAGGTGGTTTGGAGAACCGGTAGCAAAAATCCCTGTCCCACACCCCCATGCCCAGCTGAGCTGCACAATCACAGAGGCTTTTTTTTTTACTTTTAAAAGCATTTTTTCTACTTCGGCCAAAAAAATGCTTTTAAAAGTAAAAAAAAAAAAAAACTCTCATGATTTCGCGGGTCGTCAAAAGGATTTTAAAGAAAACAAGGGTTTTTTCTTTTAAATGCTCTGATGATCCTAGCTGAGTTCCCTGATCAGCAGAGGCTTTTTAAAAAAGCCTCTGCCGATCAGGGAACTCAGCTTGGATCCTCAGAGCCTTTTGAAAACATTTTTTTACAACCTCTTAGCCAAAGAGGTTGTAGAAAAAATGGTTTTAAAAGTAAAAAGAAAAAAATTGGCCATGCCCACCCAGTCACATTACCCCTAAGCCCACAGAACCGGTAGTAACAAATTTTAGATTTCACCCCTGCTCCAAATCCTCTCTATGCATCTGGGAAGGACGAAAACAGCCTTTCCCACTCCCTTGGAGGCTGTCGGAGGCCTGAAAGGGCCCATTTCCCAACTCCCGGTGGGACAGGAAGCAATGTTTTTTGCGATGTCCCCAGGCTTCAGAGTCTCTCTAGGAGTCTCTGGAGGCTGGGGACAGCAAAAAAGTCACTTCCTGTTCCACCGGGAGTTGGGAAATGGGCCCTTTCAGGCCTCTGGAGGGCCTCCAAGGGAATGGAAAAGGCTGTTTTCGCCCTCCGCAGATGCATAGAGAGGATCTGGAGCCAGGTAAGAAAGAAAAATGGGCCTGCCCCCCCCCCGGCCCTCCAAAGGCAGGAAACAGCCTGTTTCTCTACTTCTGGTGGGCCCAGAAGGCCCGGAAATCAGCTGGCCGGTGCGCGTATGCATGCCAGAGCTGAGCTGGCATGCCCACTGATATGGCTATGTGTGCCACCTGTTGCACGCATGCCATAGGTTCGTCATCAACAGGTCTATACAATATATGGCCCTTACAGGGTTCTTTCCTTGCAGTCCTTAGGAATGATGTCATATTGTGTTGCATTTTTTAAAGAAGTCTGTATCTCTGCTCGTATGATAATTAACAATCTTTTCATGAGATAAGTTAAGACAAGTCTACATGCTGCTAATATTTAAAAGAACGTTAGTCTTTTCTTTAGGTCAGGGAAGAAATAATAAACAAGTAAAACTTGACTTAGAATCAGCTGGTTAACAACTGGTTGGCATTACAATGGCCTTAGAAAGAGTGCTTTATGACTTCTAGCTGTCGTAAAATGTTATGTTAACCTCGAGTCATATGACCACATTTTGGACACTTGGCAAGTGGCTCACATTTTCCACTAGCTGTAACATCCTATGGTTATGTGACCATGATTTGCAACATTTTTGGTCAGTTTCTGGCAAAAACACTCATTTGGGAGAATGGATTTGGACTTACAACTTAAGTTACTTAACCACTATAAAACTGTTGTAAAAATGGATCCTTTAACATGGTCTAGTCATAAACATGAATGCCTCAATTTATGAGCATCATGAGTTACAACCAAAATTCCAATTTCAGCAGTTCTCATAAACTGAGAACTACCTGT